GGGATGTTGTAAAGAATCCTATTGCTTTTGAGTCACAAATCACATTCAGGAAAAGGAACTTTTGTATATATGAGTTTGAAAGCAGAAAGAACATTTATATTCAAATAAGGACAGTGCATCAAAAATTAGACTTGTTCCGGGATTACCCCAACATTTTCTCCCAGGAAATGTAAGTATTTTTGAGTAAATCACCAGTTTCTTGAAGTTAGGCGGCTTGGGAAACGATCTAAATTCACCTGTGGGGGTAGGGGGGACCACATCTAAACAAAAAGGCAGTTGTTATAACCTCAAAAGCGACATGAACAAAATGACCAACACCCTCCCAAGAGAGACAGCACAAATATCAAAAGTCTTAACAAGTGGAGGTGGTCCTCTCACGACAGGAGGTGTGGTATGCGCACAGTTTCCAGATAAGAACAAAATCACGACACTGAAACAGTAGCTGCCCTGTTAGTTACACGTGAGATTTGAAAAATACGACAACCATCTCAATCTACTCAAGTAGCACTCACGGTGAGGGTGAAATTTTATCAACATTGGTTAACTTATGGTGTATTAGAAAACTAGCAAGGAGATAAATTGACGGATTAAAAGATAAACCACTCACAGGCAGACAAACAGAAGGACAGATAGAGTTACAATCAAACGCATATTTTACTCAGACAGAAAGATAATAACCGAGCTTCAAGAACCGATGTGTCTGCTAGGAAAGCCCCGAACTTAGAATTTTCCCACTTTTGTTTTTAATTTAGTTCTCCCAGCATCATGCTGCGACTCTCTCAAAGTCTCTATGAAACCATTTTCCATCTGTTAAATGAGGCCAATGATATTTTCATAAGGTTTTTCTTAGGGTAAAAGACATGAAATATTTGGAGGACTACAGAAAATATACCCCCCATTAATTAGAGCTATTTGATGTGACATCATTTTCTCCAGTAATTGGGGATCAGTCCATAGACACGCGTATGGGTGCGAAATTGTGAAGCGTGAGAATGCATTACCAAGGGACCTCGGGTGTCTCTCTGGAAAAGGGTATCCAGCTATCTTTCTGGAAGTAATTGAAACGTAGGCTGAGGGAGAGGGGCACACTCTAGATCCTTTCCAGACCTTGCTTTCTATGGATTCTAATTTTTCTTTCCACTTAGAAAAGTACTAACTATGAAATCCACAAGGTAGAAATAGAAACTAAGGCTCTATCTGCCCTCAAACCTTACTTTCAGAAATCCCGTAGCATTCCGGAGGAGTTAGTCTTGGACTCCTGTGACGGCGCAAGTCGAGATCCCCCTGGAAATGAATCCACCTCCCCTTTCTTTTATATGATCCCACTCTCCATGTCCCCTCATTCTACACGTAGCACGAAGGAATAAGACAATTTTTGCCAGAAAGCAGGAAACTGGATTGCTTCTTTCATTCTCCTCCTTGTTTCCTCAAACTGAGAGGCCATACATACACTTGCATGTATCTATCCCTCTGGAAAAGGCCAAAATGAAGCCAATTTTGGATCATTTTCAATAATGGGACAAACTCAAATTGAGAATAAACTTTGAGATCAGCCACTGTCCTGTTGTGATAAAATGGACCCTGTAGAAGTCTCCTTGGCGTTCTCCCCTGGCTGACATTCTACCACCCACAAATAGCACATCATCCAACACTGCTCACCACAGACTGTGTCCTTGAAATTATTCTCGTTCCCCTGCATTTGTCTCCTGACACCTCTCCATCCAAGATTTCTTCTTTGGCCCAGAAGTCGTTTCACTTAAAATTTCAAATGAATTTACTACAGCAATAGAGTTGAAAACTAGACAGAGGTAGGTCACGAGAGTAAAAATTTCATTTCTCTTTTGAGGTTGGCGTGGTTTAACACAACAACCAGATTCCTAACAGGTTTTTCTAGATTTCACTCCCCATCCAACCTACATGTTCCTGCAATATAGAGATGTCCTCATTGCTCAGTCCTTACTTCCACCTCTCCTTGGTTCTAGGATGAAATTACTCAAACCTCATTCAGAGACTCTATTCTCCCTGGAATCTCTGGGAAAGAGTTCTAATAAACTGAATTCCTGAAATCTCATATTAGGTTAAGGCCAACCTGACAATCTGAGCATTAATTTTCCTGTGGCTCAGAACATCACTGAACTTATCTTTCTCCTTCTAGAAATGAACCGTCCAGGACAAATATTAGAGATTGGCTTCTCTACTCTCTCACCCAGTCATGTTTCCTTTCCTCCTCTTTAGCACTTAAACCATTTCTGACTTTCTCCATCCCCAAGTAATACCTATCTATGCACTTTCCTTTTGTTTTTTGAAATGTTCCATATGGAAGTTCTATGTATCCTTCCCCCAGAGGATTCTGACCTTGCAGTTCTGATCACCGTCAGTTCAGTATACTAATTAACATTCAGGACTTTGGAGTTAGACAAATCTAGATTCAAATTCCCACAGTGCCACGTACCAACTACATGACCCGAAGTAAGTTCCATAAGTGGTAGGGAATTACCACTTACGACTCTGGTGGTCATAAGCATGTGCTCTTCCCATCTGGGTGACCTTGGTCCAGTGACATAATCACTCCAAACCTCACTGTCTTCATCTGTAAAGTGACAAGTACCTACTTTGTCACATTGGTATAAGGAGTAAACGTGATGCTCAATACACAAGTGTTTAGCACAATGACTAAACAAAGCACCTTATAAATATTAGTTATTACCATTATTATCAATCAAATTACCAGATTCATTTTGTATATATCGGGATTCCTGACTTCACTTTCTTCTCAACAAATATTATTCTTTCTAACCCAGGCTATCTCATGCCTCATAAGCCAGAGGCAGGTCTCGTGGTACACAGAAAATGTAAAGTAGGCAGCTGGGCGGGGCAGAAAGAGTTGCCACATTTTACACAGCTGAAGCCATTCAGATGTGTCTGAATTTGAGTTCTGCTGAGTCCTCACTTGCCCCATCTGTCCTGCATACTCCAGCTTGCTAATAGAGCAGCTTTCACCGAACTACATCAAAGCCCAAACATTGAGATTACGATCATGAACATGAGAGCGAGGACTGCAAGACATCATTGAAGCAGAAACCTTCTAGGAAACCACGTGGTGAAGACCTTGGGAAGAGAGTCGACGTGCACACCAAGTGCTCTGGGATCCCGCGATGGGAAAACCAATGCCCCATTAAAGAGAAACTCGGGGTGGGGATTCTGACCACGGCAGCAGTCACCTCGCTGAACCCAGGTCTCTTGCAGCTGAAGTAGCTGCCAACTTCCACCTTCCCCTCCTCCCTCACTGCTCTCAGTCCATCCCTCCAGAAACTGAACGTCCATCACGGGGGATATTTTGCCAGAGAGAAGTTGCTCCGGCTGCTACAAACTCTTGCGGGAAATTACAAGAAAGTTTACAAGGTACACTTGTCAGATGACACTGAGTGAGTCACAAGAATTCCAAGTGCCAATTAGCATACAAGAAAGAGCTTAGTTTTAGATTTTCTTGTTTGTGGTGGTGGTAATGGTGCTGTTCTCTCTGGAATCCAATCCACTCTCCAAAAAAGTAAAAGGAATACAAATAGCAATACCAATTGTTATTACTTGCATCAAATAAAATGGAAGTTCTGAAGCAGGTAAATATTGGGGACTTTGTATATTAAACTAAAGATTTTTTGTTATTTGAAAACAAAGATTATACTGGCAGAACAGGCTATTTTAAAATTAGCATAGTAATTGAAATTGCCTGTAATGAATGTGGATCCAAAAAATGATGTCAGGCCTAGTAAGGACTGGCAAACCCTAGAGCGGCAGTCCCCAACCCCAGGCTGCAGACCAGTACAGTCCCATGGCGTGTTAGGAACCCCGCCGCACAGCAGGCGGTGAGCGGAGAGCAAGAGAAGTTTCATCTGTATTTACAGCCGCTCCCCATCGCTTGCATCACGCATAAGCTCCGCCTCCCATCAGATGAGCCACAGCGTTAGATTCTCACAGGAGCTAGAACCCCACTGTAAACTGCGCATGCGCGGGATCTAGGTTGCGAGCTCCGCGGAGGCGGTGATGCTAGCGCTGGGAAGCGGCTGCCAATACACATTATCATTAGCAGAGATTTGACTGCACAATAAATGTAATGCACTTGAATCATCCCCTACCCTGGTCCGTGGAAAAATCGTCTTCCATGAAACTGGTCCATGGTGCCAAAAAGGTTGGGGACCACTGCCCTAGAGGATAAGCCAAAAAGGCCATAGAAGAACAATATTACATTCCTGCACGTACAGGAACAGTGAACTCAAGGGATTTGTCCAGTTCAGAGTGTCGGACACTATGGCTTCATTTTCTGAGATTGCTACCAGAATTTAAAAGAAATTTTATATACCTGCTTTTGATGGAAACTCGAATTGGTTGATGTAAATGAAATATATAAGCAGTTGGCATCTTATTCATTCCCACCATTATAAATGAAGTTAAAACACTGAAAGTTATAGATTTGGGGCATCTTCTTTTCACTGATGAGTCCAAGAAATTTGTCTTTTCTGATGCTAATAACCATGTGTACATATTTTTTCTGTCTAATTCTGCATATATTAAAACTAGGTGGTTACAAACAAAACCCAGAATACAATTTGCATTCTAATGAAACGATCCTTAAATTATTCTGCTTTTTACTGTGGCTTTACTTGTTGCCCCACAATGTAAGTTCCTGTGGGCCTCTTACTTGGAATGTCTCTCCCAATGCAGATGATAGCCAGGGTGGATTGAGGAATCCAGAAATTAGGGACTCTGGTTCTTGATGCTATCTATGTACCAATCTACCGCATTTGGTCCTCTTTATTTACTTTATTAAAGAATGTGGGTGGAGATGTTTCTCGCACACTTGCACACATGCTCAAACTGCTTTGAAAAGGGAAGGGCAAGAGAAAGTGGTATCCTAGTTGAAACCAGGCAGACATTTCAGATTTCAAGAGATGAACTGAAAACGGAACATCTGCTAGATTTCCAGGGTTTGAGGGCAGTCTTCGTATCTCCGAGTGTGTGCAGATAGTGGAGAGGGTGGAGCTTTCCGTCCTCAAATCTGAAAAGATTGAGAGATTTGGAAAAGCCCAGATGTGCCAAAGGTCAGAGTGATCGATACACAGGCCCCACTATGAAAAGCGGGGAAAGGTTCGAATAGAAAACCGCTGCAGAAGAGAAGCCACTGAGAGGTAAGGGAGTTTCTGAATAATTAAAAAGTTAAGAATAAGCAAACTCAGTTGCCATGGGGGAAGGAGGTGGGGTGGGAGATAAAAAAGCAGTTGATGTGGTAATTAAGAATTTGGTGGGAGCCTGGGCAGGTCACCTCCTTTCTCAGATCAGAGCCCCATCAGAAATTCTTTCAAGTGTCCTTCTGCGTCGCCAAAGATGACAACAGCAGATCAATAAGTGCTTGAAATGAAAGGGGATGTTGGCTAGCCCCCAGGCTACAGATTTCCCGCCGCCAGCCTTTTCTGAACTCCTATAGCGTGCCTTCGCGCCGCCTCTCTTAAGAAGAGCTACCTTTTATTCCTATTCTCAGGACGGAGGTAAGTGCTCAGTTAGCATATCTATTAAATGTCGGCTCTGGTTCCAGCTCTTGGATAGCGGAGAAAGCTCACAGCCGTCGCCCGGCCGGCCGGCGGGACTGGGGCAAGAGTGGCAGCTTGGCCTGGCGGCCTGCCTGGCCACGCACCTCCGGGACCGGCCCGGAGTCGCCCAGAGTTTAACGCTCAAAGGTTAGAAATGTAAGGTCCCTGCCAGAGCAAAGGGCTTGAGCCACTGCGGCCACCGGCGGGCTCCTTCAACTTCAATTTATTCACGGACAAGGACAAAACCATTAACAACCCAGCAGAAAGATCCGTGCCCCAAAATTAAAGCTTGGAATTACCGCAAACTCCGTTCTGAGTTCCAGATAGTGGTCTGTTACCTTTCCAATATTCATCCCTTCTCTAGTATGTCTTGATTTAACAATCTTTCCAGTGCCCCGCATCCCTCAGACGTTTTAATTAGGTAATTCATTAGTGAGTCAATACAGACATTTATATATTCTTTTAGCTCAAGTGGTTAAGTACTAATTTCGAAATGATTATAAAACACTGGAATAAGCAACGAATAGTAATTTTAATTTATATGCAAATCAATTGGTTCATCTTAAATGCCTTTAAAAAAAAAAAAACAATTATTGTATTGTAGCATCGGAGGCATGGAACAGACCTCCAGAATAGACAATTCGGAAACAAGACCCGGACTGGGAAGACAATTTAGAACAGCCAACAAATCAATAATGTTTGAGGCAGTCAAACATCGCTAGCCATTGGAATTTACATACTAGCTTGTTGTCAGATAAGGAGCTGGGGAAATTGCTTGCCAGGGTTGAGATCATAATCCACAGTGCAGAAAGTAAATGGTAGCAGCAGCCTGTCACAGCCCGCTCTAAAATAATACTGTACCTTTCCCAAATCTCGACTCTTGGGTGAGAGGGAGTTGGTGGAGATCACCGCATATTTGTCCCGGTTTTGCCCTGCTTTGATGGCAAAATTTTTGTCCTGCCTGAGCTTCCCAGTTTGATTCTTATTCTAACAGTTCTGTCACTTGCTGCAAAATATTACAGGGAGGAGTATAACTGAGAATCTCACTAAACATTTTCTGAACCCCCCTAGCCAGCACTGCTTCTGTTTGTGCTTAGGTTTTGCAGCTATGTTTAATTCCATGCCCCCCCCATAAAATTAGATAATTGAGAAATCAGTAGGAAAGGCTGAAGGAAATGATCCAATTCTTTGGTTAACTGAAAAGCTATTATCTTTAGACATAGTTCAAAATTTGAGTAAGTAAAACGGATATAAGCTTTGGAATTTTTGTGTTTTTTTTAATATTCTAGAACGGTGGGTGTTACCAGGGATTACCAGGGGACCCCCACTGGAGTTGTTTATGTAAAAGTGTAACATCCTTGAAATTCGCAGATACATAAGGTCAGTGTCTCCCCAGCCCAGGCTCCGGGCCCAGGCGATCTAGCCCTTCAGGAGCTTGTACCTTTGATGCTACAGTCTTGTTTACATCTGCGGGGCAGGAATTGCTTGCTTTGCTTGGACGCTCCCTCCACCCCCTTCTAATTTGAAGTAATCAGAATCTAAATACAATCGCCACGGCCCACTCTTCCATTACTGCTTTGACGAGGGAAAAACCTGCAATCCACGTCTTAAATCAGCTCGCTGGTTTGCAGCCCCCCAGCACCCTGCCTCTCCACTGCATGCCTAATGTATTCCCTGGTGATTCCGGGCATTAATTAGTTGTTTAATAGGAGTATGACTAAAAATGTAAAAGAAGGATTAGGAGCGTGAAACGTATGTCCAGCTCCTTCCACACACTCGAGGAGGGAATGAGAATCATTCTGTATCTTCTATTTCTCCAGGAGCCATTTGCATTTCCCACCAGCTGCTCACTTCAGCTGCGCTGGCGCTGGGCGACGCGAGGACCCAAAAGCTCAGCGCGGGACAGGGGTTAACCAGCCCCCGGCGGGTGAGACTCCAGACAGAAGGGGCGTGAGGGGAACTTGAGCTTCCCCGGGCCCCTGCATCCCAGCCCTGGTTTGCAAACCTCTGAATCCTGAAAGGGGGCAGGGAGTTGCTGGCGCGTCTCTGCGCGTCTCTCCGGCGCGGCTGCTGTCCCTGTCCCCTGATCTCTCCGCGCGCCTCTCGATCTTCCTGTCCTCGGTTTGCTCACTCTCTTCCCACTTTTCACCGAGATTCCCCATCCTCGCCACCAGCTGAAGGCGAGGCCGCTCTGCTCTGAGCGTCTCTTAATCTCTATAAAATGAAAAGGAAAAAAAAAAGAGGGGGGACATTAACCCATTACTCAGAGGAGTGGGAGGCAGCAACGATCTGCGATGGGCAGAGATGAAAATGTCTTTCTGGCATTGCATTTTCCGGTGTGCTCTGACCGGAGTTCAATGGTGGGACTTGTTGAAGAAATTTGATTTTCTTGCCTCGGCAAGATTTCAAAAACCAGAAATAAAAATTCTCAGAGACAAGAGAGGAAATACAATTAAAAACAGCACGTGGGCATTTTTTCCCCTCATTTCTCTCCCCTTAAATAACAATGCTTTGAGTTTCCACTGGGTAAAGAGAGAAAGTTCGAGTTTTCACGGATGTTACATGGAGGTTAGAAATGGCTTAAAACGTAGATCTCTCATCGGCTTTCTTCGTGGCTGAAGAGGCTAACCCTTTCCATAAAATGAGTCCATCTGTCGACTGTTAGCTATTTCAAAGTGAAGGGATTTAGCACTCAAAACAAATTGAGCAAGTTTGTTTGCCTGTTTTTACTGCTAACTCAAATGAATTCAAAACACGGAGTAATTCAAGAAAACACATAACATGTTCCAGACAGCCTCCAAATGTAGGAACAGCCCAGCACCTACGTGGTGGCTGGGGTTAGTTGTAGACACCAGGCTTTTAGAATATACATATATATTTCACATATATTTCCTGCACGTTCTCCCAACGAGTCATTATATGTTCTTAAAATTGCGTGTATTAGTGTATCGATTTAGGAAGGACAACTTTCAGAGGGAACTTTATTGGGAACCAAAGAAAAGGACTCTTTAATGGCGGGCCTGCGTTCTGCTGCCATGCAGGAATTGGTATTGGGGGGAGAACCCGAACCCTCGAGCTGGGGCTGTGTTCCGTCACTTCCAAAAACATGCATTAACAGGACGCCCTTGAGGCTGAAAGAACTCGGCCCCCCACGCCTGGCCGAAGCCCTCACACCTGGTTCCCCAGGCCAATCATGTTTATAGTCCTTCCACCCAACGGCAGGACAGAGCCAAACACCCTGCTCCCTGTCAAAACACACGTCCTTGCACGAGTCAAGAAATGGCGAAATCAGGGCTCAGAAGCAGGGCACCCTTTTCGGGGGAGAACGGCCCTTCTAACCTCACACACTTTCCGCTGCTCAGGGGCGAATGTGGATTTGACGGAAGCTTTCTCCCCCGCCCCCACTTCCATCCCTGCAATCCAATACCATCCTCGCCAGGAACCTTAACCTCGTCATTTTAAAAAATGAGATATCCGTGACCCGGGGTGAACTTGTCGAGCGCAGGTACAGCCGAGGAAATTCTAGACCCCGTGCGCGCCCGAGCCTCGTCCGGCGCAGTGCCTTGGTGAGCACCGCTCAGCGCGTGGCCGCGGCCCACCTGCGCGGGGACACCCGCCTTGACCCCGGGCGGCGCGCCCGGTCGCGCCGGGCCAAGCGTCGCGGCCTTCCCCTGCTGACTCGTCCAGCTCCCGCGCTTGGGGCTGTGGCCTTCCCGCCCACTCCCCCTCGCTCACCCCATTTTTCCAGATTTCTCTCCAGTCCTCCCCTCATCGCCGCCCCGCCCACCTCCACTCCCGCCCACAGTCGGTTCCTGGCTTCCCTTCCCCCGAAATCCCTCTCCGCTGTGACCTCTCCTCTCCAACCCCGCAGGCCTGAAGGAAGGTCACGCACGCACATTCACACCCACACGCCACACGCCTCGCCCCACAGAAACCCATGCACACGGTCCTTTGTTCCATTTCTCGGGCCACCTTCCCTGTCCCTTCCTCCCAGCCAGCCCCGATCTGCTCCCCAGAAGTACGTTCCTGTTTCCCCAGGGCCCGGCCCTCCCCCTTCTGATTTATGAGGGCTCCTGGCTTGGCGCAGACTCCCTTTTCTTCTCCTCCGCGCCGTCCTCCCTTCGTGTCCTCCCTTGCGCCGTGGGAGTGCGAGCTCCCGCTGCTCGCTCGGCTCCTGTCTAAGGGCCCTGCCCCGCCGCCTCTGCTTTCGCTCTCCCGGGCTGTTTCTCCGGCTGCCTGCTCCTCGGCCCGCCGGCCTCCGCGGCCCTCCCCTGCCTCGCTTCCCGGCGCCCCTGCGCGCTCCCCCCGCGCCCGCCCGAGCGCCGCGCTCGCTCCTTGATCGCCCGCCGCGCAGCCCGGCCCGGCCGCCCGCCCGCGCCACTGTGCAGTGGAGTTTGGTGGAATCTCTGCTGACGTCACGTCACTCCCCACACGGAGCAGGAGCCGAGGGAAGAGAGAGGGATGAGAGGGAGGGAGGGGAGAGAGAGTGCGAGAGCGAGCGAGCAAGCTGGAGAGGAGCAGAAAGAAACTGCCAGTGCCCGCTAGATTTTGGAGGCCCCCCGCGCGCGCTTGGACTCCCTCGGAACCTGGCACCCTCAGGAGCCCTGCGGTCCTCTCAGGCCCGGTTTTCGGGCGTTTGCGGTGCAGCCCGAGCTTCGGCCCGCTGGAAATCGCCCCGGGAAGCAGTGGGACGCGGAGACAGCAGCTCTCTCCCGGTAGCCGGTAAGTGGAGGCCATCTCTCCCGCAGGGATGTGAGATAATGCGAGTCTGGAGATTTGTTCCACTTTGGAGAATCTTCACCGTAGGTGATTTGTAGCTCTCTGGGCCGCGTTTCCCTGGAGGTAGCGCAGTTGGCAAACAGACCTTGCAGAGCCGGGTTCCTTTCGTCCCCAGGCACAGACACTAACAAACTACAGGGTGCTGAAGTCTAGCGGGGAGCCAGACCATGGCTGGCATTTAAAATGAGGTATCTTGCCTTAAATCTTGGTGCCAACACTGCAGGGACACATCCTCAGGCCGAGGATTAGCATTCTCAAGATAAAGGGCTGGGTACAAAGTTTCAGCTCCTGGAAGATAAGCCCCCTTCCCATTGTTACCCATTGGAAAAAAAAAAAAAAAAAAAAAAAGGATTCCATCTTAACTGGCAGTTAGTGACCTCTCGGGCCCAAGCGAATTACCTGGGACCCAGGCCTGGATGCCAAGGTCCCTCAATTGCTTTGGATTATAACTCCTTTAAATTGATCACCAGTCGACTCCAGTCTTGCACTTCAGGAGAGACACATTTTAAATGGATGCAGAAGATAGGACTGTTTTCCAGCTGGCATCTAAGAAAAACAAAATTCGATACTAAACCTGAGAATTATGTTCCTCGTTTTATTCCAATTCAATCAGCTTACTTTCCTAAGCAACTTAGAAATCGAACCATCATAGGGTGATGTGATTTTTTTACTCTCTCTTTTATTCAAGTATTATCTTACTAAAGTAAAGCAAATGGAGAAAAACTTTTAGTATGATGCATTAAAATAACAGGAATGCATACATTCTAAAATACTTTTATGAAAAATTAATCCATTTAGAGAGATTTCCTTGCATTCCTTTTAGGCCATTAATCAGAACGAAAGATGCTTTTATCGCACAAAATATCATTTCGGGGAAAATCCATCTAAAATTCAAATACCAATAATGTCGACGAAACAAAGCACATAAGCAAAATAAATTGAGAATTTTTGTTGATGTGACATAAAATAAGCATACATAAGATTTCAATAATCAAACTTTCCTTAAAAATTTAATAGCCACTTTATTTATGGAATGTTTTGCTTCACCTCAGCAAAACTACACTTAAATTATTCAGGTGCTTTGTTCCTTAAGTTGAGTGTGTTTGTCTTCAAATGTTCCTAAAGCATTGGTATTAATTGGTTTAAAAGAAGGCTTACACACGGTAAAATACAGAATTATATTAAGTAGTATTTTAATTTCCTTAAATGATTACCCACTGCAAATTAATTTACTGGCTAATCACACCAATTTAGTTCATTTGAAACACATGTTCTCGTGCTGTTTATTTTTAAACTTTCCATTAAAGGTTTTGTTATGGGGTAACGAAGTGAATGGAAAGGGGGAAATGTGAAAATATTTGGAATTACTAGAACTGTATTTTTTCCTGTAATTTTATTCTCGCGGCAGTCAACAGAAATTATTTTTAAGCAAATTATTTTATTTCTTAGGGCTTGCCTGCCTGCCTTGCCTGTGCGGTCCCTCGTGCTCCATTGGCTATGTAGTGCTTTTTAGCATGCACGCAATATAAAACTCAAGTTGGCCAAAACAATATTGCCTGGCATATACATTCCAACCAGGACATGAACTTTTGCAGTGAGAACTACCTCCCATCAAGAAAAGTCTCACATCTCAATTTGTGAGATTAGCCATCGAAGCCAGTCCCGAAGTCTGGCGGCCAAATTTGTCACAGAAGACTTGTCTTGACAGGCCAAGCAAGTTTAAGGATCAGCAAGCAGGAATTGGAGGTGTCTTTTAAAACATTATCTTTCCCAGTTTTTAGAGTCGATCCCTCTAGTAGGCCTGATGGTTAAATGAAGCATAAAATGCAGGTCTCAAGGCTCATTTTGACTGCAAAATAAACCCCAAGTCACAAGGACGTGTAGGAGTGAGCTAAGGAACATGCCTTGACCTTCTTTTCAGTCCTTAGAGTGGAGCTCTATGAGTTCTTGAAGATTTGTTTTGTATTGCTTTGTTTGGTCTTGGCACTGAAGCACGGGGGTGGGGGGAGAATGTGTAATAATTGACTGACTTCACACCGAGAAGCCCAATCTTTTTCTTTCGTATATTTCATTCTTTAAAAAAAATAAAATAATAACTATTTGCAGTTACCATCTGCAGTGCTGCGGCTACCGGCTAATAATGCAGCCAGTTCAGACATATAAAAAAAAAGATTATCGAAATGATGATGACATGCAAATTTCCCCTGAAATTATCATAAGTAAACATTTGAAGTCTGGACTAATAAAATCCCATCTGTGTTACTTCATATCGAGTTAGTAGAAAGCTGTGATAATGAATTTTGTAATATCTCACGAACAGACATCTCAATCAGGGACTAATCCTGTGATTTTACTGCAGAATCACTAAATCTGGAGCCGCCAAACTGCTACTTCTGGGCCCAGGGGCCCACAAGGATCGGATCGGCAGAGTCCCCGCCCGGGTCCTCGCTAGAGGGTGGGGAAAAAGCTCCTGGCGGCCCCAACCCTCGGATCCCCATGCCACAGCGCCAAGGCAGCTCCTCCTCTAGGCAGCGACCTTGGCCAGAGGGCCCCAGGGCCCGGCTCTCTGCAGGAGAGGCCGAGAGGCTGGGAAATGCGGCTCAGGCCAGGCTCAGGCCTGAGGCTCCCTGCCCCGCCTCTGCCCCGCCGCCGACCCGGCCCTGCCCGCGCCCGCCCCAGCCCTGCACCCGCGCGAAGTGAGCCCTCCGGTCGCCGGCGTACCCTGGTTAGCGTGGAGAGAGGCAGGCGCCCAGATCCAGGGGCCTGGGGAGCCCGGGACCTTCTTTCCTTTCTTCTGTCTCCAAAGCCACCGCGGCCCTTCTACCCACGCGGGAGCCCCCTTCGAGACCCACCTCTCCCGTTTGCCCGTGGCAGAGAAGGGCGCGCGCGTTCGGTGTTTGGCTCGCCGCTCGCGGTTAGAAATTTGAAAAAGATCTGGCTTGCCCGGGAGGGAAAGGGGGAGCACCGCTGGAGGGAAGGGGGGAGGACTGCAGTTCTCGCAACGCTATTTCTCCGACCTTGGCGGGCAGGAAACCCTCCAGCAACGTTCGCCGCACTCAGTCCACCCCGTTGCTCTCTGCCACAATCTTAAATCATACCTTAGGATAAATAAATGGCCGGGGGAGTATCTCCAGGGGAAAGTGTGGCTAAATAAGGAAAAGTGGCTCCTGATGGATGAGAGGCCGGAAGGCAGCTGGCTCCTGGAGCACCCTAGGCCGAGAGCCCGTTCGTTTCAGAATTACAGAAAACCGAGGGAAGCTGCCAGTCTAGGACAAGTTGGCTCTGGCGCCCTACACGTTTGCTGAGCTCCAAGTGACAGGCACGGTGCTGAACGGTGGCCTTCGCACGCAACTGCCCTGAAAGAAAAGTCCTCTCCACCCACCCGCCACCCTGCCCTCGCGTTCAGATGGGCTCTTAACCCCAGCACAGGCAGTAGTTCCGCTACCTCCCCAGGACACGGGCTTTGTCGCCTTCTGGCCCTTTTGCGGCCACTCCGAAGGGAGGCCACTCTTGGTAAACATTTCGCATGTCCTGGCCCCGGGGCTAGGGAGGCGATGCTGCTGCGCCGCCAGAGGCTGTCAGGTGTGAGAAACACACCGGAAGCCTAGCACACAGTAGGCGCCTAACAGCTTGCGCCGCCGTTGACCGCCCACGGGTCGTCTCCGCCAAGCCCTGCGCCCTCGACGGCCGCGGCCTCTCACCGCCCTCCTCTCCTCTTTTGCAGGTATCGGGGAATGGAGACCAACTGCCGCAAACTAGTGTCCGCATGTGTGCAACTAGGTAAGAGCCCACTTCTCTTGCCCGGGTCACCGGACGGGAGGCCGCGCCACGTGAGGGCCAGGAGGGGGCACGGGCCCGTGGCGAGGCCCCGGCGAGGGGCGCTTCCCCGAGGGGCCAGCCTGGGCAGGAAGAAAATCAGAAGCAGGACGCGGGCGCTCCCGGGGCGGGGCGGGATGGGGGCGCGGGGAGGGGAAGGACGGTGGACCGGGAGGGAGCGTCGCGCCGCGTCCCGAAGCCGCTGGCCTAGTCTTCCCGGCTGGACCCGAGGGCAGCCAGGGAGGCGCAGAGAGAGAACTGCGCCCTGCTCTGGATTGTCCGAGGGTCCGGAACACAGAAGTGACACTCGCTTTTTCCTCTAACTGGGTCTTTGCTCTTTGTCCCTCTTTCTCCTCCGTCCTGCCTCGCCCCCCTCTGCCGCCCCCCGCTCCTCTGGGCCGCGGTCCGGGGCGTCTCTCTGCACCGCACGTGGGGTGGGCGCGCGCGCCGCCCAGGCGTGCAGCCGGCGGCCGTTGAATGCCTCTTCTCCAAAGACTCCGAAATCAAAAAGGTCGAGTTCACAGACTCTCCCGAGAGCCGGAAAGAGGCAGCCAGCAGCAAGCTCTTCCCGCGGCAGCATCCTGGCGCCAATGGTAAGGCCGGGAAGAAAGCGCAGGCCGCGCGCCGGGCACCCGCCTCCGGGACTCTGGGCCTCGGGCGAAGCGCGAGCAGGCGACGCCGCCAGCCCCGGCGCGCCTGCTGCTTGAACTTAGGCACTTGGCCTCTGGGTGGGACGGGAAGCAGCCGTCCCAGGAACGTTAATTCCTTCCCCCAAATTATACTGCACTCCTGAGACCCAACACCTCTCCCTCTCGCTCTCTGCCTGTGGTCCGATCCCCTACGCACGCCCCAGCCTACCTCGGTGCCTCCAGCTGGCGTGGAAAAGTGGTCCAACAGCGACCTCTGTCGCTCACCATGTCCCACTGCGCGCAGCACCGCCAGGGCCCACCCCGTCCCTGCGGCTCTCAGCCATGCCCCACCCAGGCTGTGGGTGCGGGGTTTATCGCGGGAGGCGAGCACAGGAAACTCGTGTTGGCGAAAGTTTGCTTCGGCGGGTTGGGGGCGGGGCGGGGGCTGCCACCAGCCCTGCAGAGCCGGAGGGCAGCGACTGCGCTCTGCAGCCCTGGGTGGAATGGAGTGTGCGCCCCTGTCGACGCGAACCTGCCTGCTGTGCTTGTTGACAGGCCTCGGGTTTTGGAGATGTTGCTTGGTTGGCTAGTTTCACTCTGGATGAGTCAAGGGACCTTGCTAGGCAAAGTCTGCAGGCTTGTGTAAAAAGTGAAAACGCCTCCAACCCACGGCGCAGGCCTTTGCTGAATTGAAACTTGTCCTTTAGCAGTGTGTGTGTATGGATGGATGTCTAAGAGGGGGAGAAAACTTTTCTTTGGGAATACATGAAAACCTCAAATGCACTGTTCCTCTCTTCTCCGGGTTTTCCAGGCTTCATAGTAAGTGCCTAGCTTTAGGAGGTTGTTGACCTTTGATAGTGCGAGCAGATAAAGCCCCGCACAGCCCTCGGCCCCTAACCTCGTTCCTTCCGGATTAAAGTGTAAGGATACAAAGTAATATGTGCCGGGGCGGGGTGGGGGGGCGATTTGGGACCACCGCCAAGTAAACAAACCGTATTACTCAGAAGAAAACAAAGGCCCTGCACATCGTCTTCCCTGCGAATGAGAGAAAAGCATCATTTGTTGAAATAAAACGTCTAAAGCGATCTGCAGCTCCAGGGCCCTGACACTGCGCAATCTCGCGAATCGTCCTGCTGGGCCAGTTAAACGCTCACTTGTCCGGGATTAACCCCCCGGGGTTAAATGGGGCAATGCGAGATAACATCGGGTGATTTCTGTCATTAAGATTGTGTTAAATTCTTCTTCTGTTTGATAATCGGTCGTAAAAATAAATTATTAGACCGGAGTATGTTTGGGATATGGTTAAAAATCAAGAGTAGGATGACTCCCGGGGAGAATGCTTTGTGCGGGCTCAGCCCTGGCTCCGGCCAGACGACAGGAGCTCCCCGCTGTCGCTTCGCACGGGGCGGGCGGCGGCGGCAGAGTCGAGGCTGACGTTTCTGGCCGCGCTGGGAGCCAGGGAGACGCACGATGTCTCCTCCTCCGGCTGCTCCCCATCCCGGGTTTCGTTGACCCGGGGGATGGTTTCTGAGGACAGGTGGCCTCCTTGCGAGCTGAGGGAGGCAGGGCCCCTCGGAGGAGAAGCCTAGGGTGGATGGGGTCCTCGTAGGTGGCCAGGAAGCGGCTGAGAGCCCAGGAGACCTGTTCGCGGCGGTCACAGGCTGGGCAGGAGCCTCTGGGCGTTCGCTTTTGATAATTAGCAAATAAAGAACTAGAAATAACGAACGATTGTTTTCTTAACCATTACTTTCAGGCCTGGATTACTTTAGTGCATGTGAAAGGCTCTTCTCCTACACTGTCAATACATCTATTTTCTACTTCTGGACCGAAGAGAAAAATTGCTGCCCAGACATGTTTAATGCCATTAATTAAGAAGAGGCATGTAATGGGAAGAAATGAAAATCTTGATTTTATTAGCTTTTAGGGAATTGGTAGACCAAAAAAAAAAAAAAAGACGTCACACACGAGTGTGCAAAACTATAGCATTGCTGAAGTAAAGTTGCCAGAGTACCCTTTACTGATTATGAGTTAATTTATGGAACATGCAAACTTCTGGCCACAGCCTCCTCTTAAAACAAAAGAATGTATTTCTTGGTTTTTGGGTTTGTTTTTTTTTTTTTTACAGTTTTCCTTTGCTTTTAAAATGAGAAAAGTCTACAATGGCATACAATTTTTTAAAAGCGCCATGATATTCTATCATTGGCCCGACCTTCCCCCCCAAAAAAATGCCGGGTCCATGTTAAAAACTGTTTGAAAACGCTCTGAATAGGCAGAGGCCACCTCTAAGAGACCCGGGCTCTGCGCCCCTTCCCAAGAGAGGCCCCCTTCCCTTGACACCCATTGGGTGGCCCCCCAGCCTGGCTGGCACCCGAGAAGGGAGGCACCCTGAGGGGGTCTGGAGATCCCTAAAGCCGGAGGTTAGAGGGGGGATGGCGGGCACGGCCAGCGGCGAGCAGGGAAGGAGGGTTGGCAAGTGAAGCAGCCCGCGGAAAGGAGGCGCAGACGCCCTCTGGGAACGTCCCCTGGAGTAGAGGCCCTTGGCTTTTCTTGCCTTGGGGGCCCCCAAAGGAGCCTCTGTTTTGCAGAACTAATAAAATGGTCTTAACGTTAAGGAAGAGGCGACTGACCCTCCCCGTCAGTGACAAAAAGTTTTGGGACGGCGACTCCGGGTTCTGGGCTAACATCGCACAGCGCTGCAGCCCCTTTGACCCTGACTCCTGGCTTTGCGTCCGCACATGGGGCGGGTACTTCGGCCGGCCTCCCCAGCGAAGCCAGTAATTTTTAAATCGCTTTGGCAGAGTGCATGGGCTGGAAGTGTTCGGCCAAGTCTCCGGTGTGCTCAGACTCCCTGGGAGGGAAGCTCGGTGGCCCCTCGCGGCACCCCCTGGCCGCGACACGCGCCTCCTCGCGGCGCAGCAGCTCAGTCCCAGTCTTCTTTAGAGGACTCGGGTTAACCCAGGCCGCCGGCGGTCGCAGACCCTTCCTTGCCCCCGATTCATTCTGTCAGCAAATGTTTGCCAAGCACATGCTATGTGGGCTCCTAATGTACCCCCTGAACGCAAATAATCCGGTTTTCCTGGCCGTTGTGAAGCGATTTTAATGCTAACACGGATACCAGCGAGATCAGCACACCCGCTCTAGCAAAATGCAAAACGGTGGTGCGTGGGGTGGTGATCCCGGCCCTGAGAAATCAGGGGATGTGCGGAAGCGTGGAGACCTCTGACTGTGGCCCGGGGGCAAGGGACAGGTGCTTGCCGAGGGGGGCATGAGGCTGGAGGAAAAAGCAAGGAGAGAAGGCAGCTGGGTAAGGAGAGCAGTTTTCCATTTTCTTTTCTCCACCTCGACCTTGCCCCACCCCGCCCCGTCCGATGTGCAGTTTACTGGCAGAAGCTGCCTCACCGCCTTGTGGCTTTTCCCCACCGGGGGAAACCGTACCAGTCGTGCAAAGGTAGTCAGTCCCTGCGGATCCTGCCCCTGAAGGGGGTCCTTGCAGGTCGCGTTCCTTGCTACCGACACGGTGCCCACTCAAAGTTTCTTGCGGCTAGTTCGGCTGTTCTTCCAGCCCCCGCTGTTTAATATATGCAGCAGTTGTTAGAGCGACTCCGGGGAAAAGGAAATGTATAACGAAAGCTTATTCGTGAGCAGGAATATACTAATGGAACTATCTGATGTCTTCTTAATCCTATGTAAAAAGCTTTGTCGTCTTCCTAATATTGACTGAATGGGTAATTAATGGCTCTTCATCTAGGCGAATACCCTGTAATCCAAGATAGGCAAAAGACAACAAGCCCAAGGTAGGAGACAAAAGGCCCAACTGCAGCCACGTTCTCCCCGCCCCCGCCCCGTTGGGAAAGTTTTCTCTCAGAGGAAAAAAGGGCAGGGAAGCGGGAGTACACCTACCATTTCTAGCCTAGACTTAGCTACAGCACCGGGCCGTGCAGCTCAGTTCTTCCTTACTCTGCCTTTCCTCCTCCAGCCCTTGTCTCTGCATTTCTTTCTTCTTAACTCCTCTAGGGTGTCTCCCACATTATGGCCCTGACCAGCACCTTTTCCCCCAAAACCCCCTTCTTTCTTTTGGAGATGCGACAGTTGAGCAGCACACAAGGTCCCCAAAAGGCTCAGCAATGGATCAAGCTCCTGATCCAGAAGAAAACTCCTTTTTCATACGACCCAACACATAGCATCTTTGAGGACTAAGGTAGTTGGGACACGAGGGAAGAAATTAATAGAAAGGAAGTGATCATACGGAATTGCGTACATGTATTAAGGGGCGGTCAGGAATGATAGAGTCACCTTCTTCGTGAGGATCTGACAGGAAGAGCACCCAAGATTCTACCAGCATGTTTCTAACTGGCTGACATTTTAATTTAAACCTTTAGAAGAAATATATTACTTGGGTTACTACAATGAGGTGGGTTCCTTTTTTTTTTTTTTTTGGTCAGCTGACAGCTTTTAAAATATTATTTCGCTAGGGAAATAAAAGCTTCATCTCAGATTATAGGTGGGTATTTTTGGATTTATGTGATTTATGGTCACCATGACAACTAATGCTGAATGTTAGCTACCAGCATGTCTGGGAGAGAGAAAACCGAAAGAGGGGAGAGCAAGAGAAATAGAAAAAGGAGAGGGACATGAGCTGGAGCGGGAGGACAAGAGAAAAGAGAATGAGAGAGGAGAGTTTTAATTCAACTGTTGTTTAAAAAAAAAAAATTGGCTTCAGTTAGCTCCCTTCCTTCCAGGCCTGGATGTCTATGTTTAATTTCTTATTTTCTCCCTCTCTCCCTCCTTCTCTCTCTCTCTCTCCTACTCCCAATACACATTTATACTATACCATTCTCTTTATTTTACTTAGTCCCATGAAAAGTTGCTTTCCAGAGATTAAATGAGCACCTAGTAAAACTGTAGCACTAGCATACAAACGTTAGGAAGCATTAAATGCTGGTTGGTTTAGTGGTTTCAGCAAA